TAGCCTCTGCGGGCTCGGGGTCAGGGCGCCCAGCCGGCCTGCCAGCCTGGCCAGCCAGTGGCCACCTCTGCACAGGGCTGTGGACAGCCCAGCTGGGGCAGGAGCTCCGTGGCTCTGGTGGGATGAGTGAAGGAACAGGAGGATCCACTGAGTTAACACAGGAGGCCAGCAGCGGCTCTGCAGACAGGCGGGACGCAGACCCTCTGCTGGCCCAGGAATCGGGGGATTGAAAGGGCCTGGCCAGGTGCTGGTGTCCTAGGTACTAAGTCACTTCCCATTTTAGAGGTTTTAGCCTTTTCAGAAATCTGTGAAGAGAGTCCTGAGGCCCTACATCAGGCTCCAGCCGTGTCCTGTGACGACGCTGGCACCAGCAGCTTCGGGAGCTGCATCTGCTGCAGGGGGGTGGCGTTCAGGCCCCACAGCTAACTGGAGCCCAGGCGTGGCCCAGGTTTCCCGGGTCTCCTACTCCCAGGGCCACCTCCCAAGGCCGTGTGCAGGAGGCCTGGAGAAGAGCCAGGTGGCCGACGGGAAGATACGGTGGCCGTTGAGAGATGCTGAGCAGGAGGGAAGAAGGCCTGGACCTGGACCACGGGCAGTGCCTCCCTTCCCCAGGACAGCACGGGCGTGGGGCGAAGGCAACGAGGCCGGCCACAGACTACACCCAACCCAGACGCCACGGCCACGCTACCCACTGTCCCGTCCAGAGGCACCTCCAGGCCACGAAGTGCCACTGATCCTAAAGCCTCCACTCGGCTAGTACAAGACCACAGCCCATTCGTGGCTGAAGGCAGCAGCAGGCAGGTGACCACCCCAGGATGTCTCTCGTGTCTTATTTGACTCACACTCAAGTGAGCAGTCACAGGCCCACAGCCGCTCCCTCACCTGGGTGGCCACCTGGAGATACATCCTGTGGATAACCCGATGGTCCCTGGAGCCCCGCTGGTCCCTCATAGCGCTGCTGTGGACGAGCCGCCGGAGCAACTCCGTGGATGCCCCGTCCAGCGGGGATGAAGTGCTCCCTGGTGCTGCACAGTGCACCTGGCCCTTTGTCTGCGTTAGTTACAAACGACCCAGCAACTCCCAGGGCATGGCCCTGCTGTCATGAGAAGTAGGAGGACCTGCCCAGAGCCACACACTGTGACTCCAGTCTCCGAATCCACAGCTCAGGGCTCTGCGTCTTGCCAGAGCAGCCATTGCTGGTGGACGGAGCCCTTCCGGGGGGTCTGACTGCTGCTTGGCATGGTCAGCCAACCTGGTGTCCCCCTGCCCCTCGTCCCCCTGGGCCTGGCCCTAGTGCTACTGCTTTCCTGCCCCCCCCCCCGCCGGGGACCTGGCCACCTTGCTGGCCTTCATGATGCACCAGGCCCGGTCCCTGGGGCAGCACCCTGGCAGATCTCTGGCTCACTCTGTGTCCTCGTCTTTGCACAGGCTTTGTCAGAGGCTCACTCGATGGCTCTGCTTAAAGTAAGTCACTGCTGCCACGCGTGACCTCCGTCCCCTCCCCCGCCCCTTCCAGAGCACCTGTGGCTTTGAAGTACAGTATGTGACGTACCTGTGGCCCCCACTGGAATGCAAAGTCCCCAAGGACGGGGCTACGGTCATTTTATGTCTGGCATAGATGTCACCAGGCTTAGGAGACCTGCTCACCCACATTCCCTTGATCTTCCAGACCTCGTGAAGCTAGAGACGCTGTCCATGCTTTCTACCAAGGTGCAGACTGAGGGCCATGACACAGCCATGCACCAAGGGTGACGATGACGGCATTCAAGACCCATTCACATGTGCCCCTGGCCTACACCACAGAAGGCGCACCCTACCCTTCCACTTCCTCTGTGCTCACGAGAGCCCAGTGAGGGTTGGAGCACTCCGTTTCTCAGAAGGGCTACTGAGATGGAGAGTGACTTTTGGATGTAGGAAGCACCCACAGGGCCCCCGACCCATGGACAGTCTTCCCTTACACCATCCTGGCAAATAGGCCGCCATTTCTCCAAAGAGGGCAGGGGACTCAATGACTGCAATCCACGAGTGGAGCCTGTGCATCCAGCCCAAGACCCAGCCTCCCCTTCCTGGGGCTCAGGGATGGTGCAGTGGCACACAAGCTGGGGGACGCTGTGCCGAGGAGCAGGCTCCTGTGGGCTCCGTAAGTCGGACCGTGGCTTCAGCTGAGTAGCAGCCTCCTGTGGCCTCTGCAAGTCGGACTGTGGCTTCAGCTGAGTAGCAGGCTCCTGTG